TGGATGTTTTCCCATTTTGCATTTTCATTCTTTCTTTCTTCCCCTTTGAATCTATCATTATAAATTAGATTTTTTTTTTCTACTTGATTTTTAAGTAGCAGCAGATTAGGGTTTTCTTTTCTATTCTTGTATCCTCTTTCATGTGTGTGTAGTTTAGGGAGTTTCCATTTGCCCATGTTTGTGTTCAAAAAGATTGTGTGAAGCAGGAGTTTTCCAAAAAGTGACTGCTCATCGCATTCTACAGAATCTTATCTGAAATGCACCAGCTGGGACAAAAAAAAAAGTCTATTTACAGATAAGCACAAGGCACTGCAGCTTTAAAAGACCAGATGGGTCATAAAAAAGACAAAATCAGCTTCAGCCTTTACTTTAAAGACTCAAGTGGCTTATTTTTGTAACTCACACAACTAGTTCAGCATCACTAAAGTGTTTTCTTTACCCCCAACAAACAGTTCAGTGCTCCATGGTTCTTTCAGGCTGTATAACATGTTGTGTTTTTAGTCCCCACATGCCATACGGTACACAAATACGATGGACAACGAAGAATGGGACAAGGTACCAGTTTAGACTTTCACACCGTTTGGTCACTTTCTGTCCTCGATCAGGGTTCAGTTTCCTAAATTCAATCCCACTCAGTGGAAACCTGATGGATCCACTGCTAAGGGCAGAGAGTGACTGAACAATATGAGGTAGTGCACGGCAGTCGAGTGCTGTGATGTGTGTAGATGTAGCTAACCCATAGCTTCTGATAGTCTCCCTGAAGGTTTGATGGGGTTCGTTGTCAATGTGCATACATATAGGCCACAATGCCTGCTGTGGCGTAGAAAGATGTGGCACATATGTGTGCAGTGTTTTGTAGGTTTGCTGTGCCTTGTATGTGTGCCATATAGTCTGAGAGCTCCTCCTCTTTCTTATTTTTTTTTGCTTTTGATGTGTGTCTGTGATGGTTGTAGCTCAACATCACCACGTGGCTTTTTTATGTTGTTTATGATAAACCCAAAGACAAAAAAAAATGTCTGTCTGATGAATAAGTTTGGAAAATGAATGGAAGTTTCAAATTCGTGGAACCATTAAATTGATCTGAAGCGGGGTTCTGTGGAAAAGTGGACCGCAGTTAATATCTTACCTGTTGTAGATAGTTCTTTTAACAGTCAGGGTTTGGAGAAATAGACATTGATTCTGATTAGATTGATGAGCTAATGGCTAGTCCAGGTGAGATCAACTCTGAAGTGGACAAATGCAATCTCTAAAATTTCACAGCGGCTCATGCAAATGCTATTTTATAAACTTCTACGCATCATCAGTCGTTTACGTAGAAGTATTCTGATTTTACGGAAAGATGTGCTCCAAACTGTACCAGAAATGCTAAAGCTTCTGTTGTTAGCTTTAGCAAATACCAAACAGAATCTGCTGTCATCAATCATGTGATGTTACATAAACAACAATGCGGTAAACTGCATTGCAGGAACTGCTGTGAAATGTTTGAGATTAGAGTTGTTTTAAGAGCTATCTACAACAGGTGAGATATTAACTGTTTGTAAATTTTCCATAGAATCCCACTTCAATAAAATCGGAGCTAAAACAAATTGCATCAACAAATGTTCACTCAGCATCTGATGGGATGAATGGGTTTCAATGAGGTTTAGCTAATGAAAACAACAAGAGGAGCTAAAACGTGTACAAACAGCAGCCTGTCTGGTCGAACATCTGGTCTGCATTGTGCCGTTTTGCCCACAGGAAGTGACAGTCCTGACCACAGGGAAAGCTTTACAAAACCACAGGAAGTGATAAGCTTAGCGAGATGCTAATTTGGCAGAAATGAAGCGTTCCCTTTTTATCTTCAGTTGTGTGAAGAGCCACAAAATGTCCTCCCTGACTCAGCCTGTTTCTCATTGGCCGCCTGGCGCAAGACCTACATGTTTCTCTCGCTCTCTCACTGGTTTTTTTTTTTTTTTCCTGTGGCGCTGAACTGAAACCCACTTCAGAGTTCTTGGCAGCACAAACTGGTGACCTTTGCTTCTACAGGCCTGCGTTTTTGTCTCAGAATTCCTTTTTCCACTTTGTCCCCGTTTGTCTTTTGCTTTCTCTTAAATCCGTGGAGCAGACTGATTTGCTTGAGGGCGTTTAGTTGGGTTTGCTGTACAAAAGCGTTTCTGTTTGCATCCCTCGTCTTTGTCTCACTACCGAATGTGCAAAAGATTTAGGCAATTGAGATCATATAAAGATTTTGTCAGCTGTAATGATGCGTGCATTTTATGCTTTGTCTGTAAAGGTCCTAGAGATTTATGTGGTGTAGTCTCTATTCAAAGTTAAATAAATAAGCACAAGCTCAGGTCTCTGTTGAGGGAACATCATCGGAAACAGGATTACTTTCCTCTTATAGCCACACAAAAATCCTTTATAAGTCAAGATGTATGGGGTCAGTGATGTGCTGCGAAACCAATTAGTCTGATGCCCCCATGTCAAAAACATAAATAAATATCACAGGTAGTTTTTATACGTGACCTCCTGTTTTCATCATTTATTACAAGCTGGTTTTACCTCTGACCCTCTTTAGCCTGTCGTGGCGTTGCTTACAAGCACATCAGTAAAGCAGCGAGCTAGATGCACACACAGAAACACGCTTTTGGTATTTGCCTGGCACTTCTAATACAGAAAGGCATTTTATTCATTTTTCTGACCCACTAGTTGTGGTTTATATCCCACTAATCATCTAAAGATAGATTGTTTGCTCTTCGGCCACAGCAGCAGAGACAGGATTAAAGCACCGTGACCCAGTTGTAGAGCTTATGTTAGTGCGCAGCACACGTGAGTTGTACTCGATCATGTCTGCCTTCTCCTTTGTTAGCCCTTCATGCAAATTGCAGGCTGCAAATAAACCAGGCTTTGAAGGTGCCCAGATGGAAACGTTCAGCGCTCGCTGAGCACTGTGTGTGTGACTACGCAGACTATTTCCTGTAAAGGTGGAATCATTAAATATTTAATCAGATTCACTAGACGGCTCGGTGCTTACAGGCGTACCAGTGAGTGTCGTACGCCGAACCGGCTGACATACTTGCATCTGTGCGCAGATGCATTTGTTCAAGAGTGCTTGTTTGTTTGAGATGGTTTTTGTAAACTTTACATTTTTATTTCTGCTGAGTCCACCGTCAGCTGCTTTGCTTTTGCGTCTTAAAGCACCAACTGCTGTGCCTGTAAGCTAAGCACGTTGTAGATGAACCATCCTTTATTTACCGTGTTTCATGTCCTTATTCTGATCGCAGGGCAACTGGAGGACCTGAGGTTGCCATGGGAACTGGTCCCTGGCCCCAGCCCCCTACTGAAGCCGAGCAGCTTCAGGCGCTGATGGCTGCAGCCAACGGTGAGTCCAACACCTCGCCATCACTTTTATTCCCCTTTTCCTCCATCCAGTCTGCTCAGCTTCTCCTAGCAAATGTATTTATCTTTGTGTGCGAGCGGATGCGTGGGAAGAGGTGTTGTGTGTAGCTTCCAGGGCAACCAGCCAGACTCACCCATTGATAAAGCGCTCTCTGTCTACATCGATGTTTCCATACTGTAGACCTGGGATTAATAAGTAACCAGAGTTAGATAGTGGACCAAGCTACCTGCAGTTATTCTGTATCACATGTTGTGTGATTTAAAACCACAACAGATGTGTGTTTCCACTGTACACACTCTGGTGTTTGATTATAAGCAAAGCTGCAGGAAAATGTGTGACCCGTTATTTTTCAACAACACACATCTTCTTCTGCCTCTGCTGTAGTGAAGGTGCGCCAAACGAGAGGCGCACACAATATTAGGGATGCACAATATTATCGGCTTGTCATCGTATCAGCCGATATTATCAATAAAGTTAAATATCGGACATCGGCCATCCCATTAAAATAACTCACCAATATAAAAGGCTTGTTTTACGTTAATTTTTAATTTAAGAAACTAAGTATATCTATTAATGTACTACTACTTATGCACTTTTCACTTGTCACTTGTGAACAGGTTGAATTTAAATTTGTGAAAATTTACAGATTTGCACTGTTCGAGTGTCATTGTGTTAGAGAGAGTAAATGTCACGAATAAATTTGACATTAAACATAATCCAAGTTGAAGTGTTACATCGTTTTCAGCCCCCTGTTTGGCATCTAGCAGGCCAAACTGACAAAGACCAAGCAGAATAATGTATTTTAATTCCACAGCAGAGAAAGCTATGTTGTCTCTGTAAGTAGGTCTAGAAAAAAAAAATCGGTATTGGTATCGGTTATCAGCCAAATAAGTTTTAACATATTGGCATATCGGAAATCGGCCAAAACTCCAATATCGTGCATCCCTAACTGACATCAGGCTGTTGACAGCTTTGTAGTCTGATGGGAAAAAAAATTGTCATTATTAGTTAAAAGAAGTCAGAATAAAAACATAAAAAATAAAACACAGGAATAAACTCAACAAGTTTAACTGCCAAACAGTCAAGTCATTGTTTCCAGCTTAGTTTCAACACATCTCCTTCCACTGACAAACACTTAAACACAAACACACACACACACACTCTTTTCTTGAATACGGCTCGGGATGTCATGTGGAATTTTTCCACTGGATGGAAAAGTGAAGTGAAGAGAGACAAAATGTCTGAGCACGAGGAGATTAATGTACAAGGTTGGACAGCGTGCGCAGTTCTCGAGCCATCAGGGAGGAAAACGAGTAAACAGTGACAGCGATAAACACTGAAGGTCATCACCTCTTGTTTAGCGTCACTGGCAAGGAGAATAATTTAGAGTTAAATTAGACTTTTTTTTAGAAACAGAGTGGCATTCGCTGTCTGTAAATATGTGTTTATAGTGCGAGTTAAGATACAGGGTTGTGTGTGTGTGTGTGTGTGTGGGGGGGGGGGGGGGGGGGTGGGGGGGGGTGGGTGGGGGGGGGGCTTGTGTCTCTGGCTCTGCAATGCAGGGGCTGTGGGAGAGAATTATGAACAGAGCAGCTACGTCATGCACTCCCAGAAACGGAGCATGCCCAGTGGAGATCCACTAACACAAACAAGCACTCCAGAACGCCCGCTTTCTAAACCAAAACGTTTCCTGCACACTGTCAACTTCACGTGCGCTGCATCACTTTTCCACATCTTATTCTGTTCATGTCTTCAGTTTTCATCCCAGCTTGCTGCAGCTCGTCTTTTTCTGATGTTTGCACCTGTTTTCACGTTGGAAGCTTGACATTTGTTGTTTCACTGCTTCTTTTTAACACTGCTGCCACAGTCAAACTTTCCAGCACTTTTAACACGTTTCACCCCTCCTCCTCCTGTCCCTCCACACCTCCTCCCCTCATACCCCCCAACTCTGTCTCTCTTCCCACCAGAAGTAAGCGAGGCCACGGCCACCCTCGGGCCCGGCACCATGGGTCTGAGCACCCGGTACAGCCCCCAGTTCACCCTGCAGCATGTGCCGGACTACCGCCAGAACGTCTACATCCCCGGCAGCACGGCCACCCTCACCTCCAACCCCCAGCAGCAGCAAGCCTTGGCTCAGCAGGCCACGCAGCAGGCGTTGCCCCCGCCTCAGTCCTCGGGCCAGGCCGAACCCCCCAAGGCGGCCCAGACCCCCGCCTCCAAGAAGAAGTCCACCAAGAAGGAAAAGAAGTAAACGTGGACAGGGCGAGGGGGCGAGAGCATGATGTGATGAGAAATTGAACCCCCCCACACCCCTCTACTAGGTCTCTCACTGCTTTGCTGGATGCTGTTGGTGGTTCCTTGAAGAATCCAAAACGTGCTGGAGGTTTTTCTTCTTACTAATCCCTGCTTAAAGATCGGGTATTGTTCATGTAGTCTTTGTGGGTAGGTATTTTTGGCTGGGTATGGGGGGTTCCTGTTGTGTTCTTTTTCTTTCAATGAAAAAAAAAAAAGTACAAAAAAAAAAACTATTGGACACAGATTTAGTGTAACAAACCTTGCTGGGATGACAAGGCTACACACGACGATGTATTCAGAGATGAAATGTTAATGTCTTTCATGTTGGAGTTGTTGCGCATTTTCCTCAAGGTGAGGAAAGTCAGCTGTTGTAAAGTACACACGTTGCCATCCGGTAGACTCCTGCGTAGGGCCAGCCTCAGCATAGAGGCTGTTTGACAGGTATTACACTCTTCTGCATGCTCATTAAGGTTCAAACCACATAGGCTAGTTTAGAGTTGCAAACTATGCATTGCAAAAGCAAAGAGGAGGACATCCTGAATCTAATTTCCTCCCCTCCAATCGCAAGTCAACAGAATGCACAAGGAGCATTTACTTGACGCAAAAATGAGAATTACTTTTGTAATCATAGTTTAAAAAAAATGAAGAAATCTTGTGATATTTTTATGGCCTGAGCATGCACACACGGGAAGGGGCTGGCAGAGGATGGGGGAGGCATTAAAAGCAGTGCGGTTTGTCTGCAGGCTCAACCCAGCTGCCCTCCCTCACACCCAGCCCATGCTCCTCCCTCACCCACTACCCCACAATTTGAGCCAAACTGAGAGAAATGCGCTGTCCGTGTTCTGAAGAGGAGACCGTGCTGGGGGCTGTAATCACTACACTCTTTAGGGAAACGTAGACGTGCTAAACTTAAGCGCTTAGGAGTTTCTAGACACTTTGTAAGCCTCTAGGGCCTTCATAAAGCTTTCACCCTTCACTTCCTTGAGGTGCTGAAGAAATTTCTGGATGTTTAATTTTTCTTTTCCCTTTTGGAAGATTATAATTCAGTAATGGAGTTCGTTATGGAGTGTTTAGTTTGCCGTCCGTTTTCTGTCAGGCCAGATAAAACTGCATGAAAATAAGAAGGCAGCTCATAGATGGGACTGGAGGGAATGAAAGGGATGCGGTGAGAGGCAAACGGATCAAGGTGACATCATTGTGCCAAACAAGGAGGGGAGGTATGTGTGATGCAATGTTAGCTCCACCCACTGAATGTACAGAGGAACCACTGCTGATCTGCCCCCCTCCTAACGTTCTGTGAAGCACTGACCCAGGTAGAGGTCACCAAGCACAAAGCTGCTCACAAGCTTTTTCCAAATTTATTTGTAATCAATGGGAAATCTGATCCTCTCTGCCTCTCACCTGTCTGCCCCCCCCCCCCCCCCATCTGTGCAGCTCGACCCCCCTCTGTAAATAAACACGAGTCTGGTCGATGGTATGAGCAGAGCATTTCTAAAGCAGGGATCTCTTCCAAGATTTTCACAATAGAAGGTTCTCAACGCGGTGATGTGCTCTACTGGAATGTGTTGCGTTTTGTTTTTCCAAAAAAGCAAAACAGTAAAAACCACACTTAAAAAAAAATAATCCAATAAACAACAACAACAAAAACCCGGACATGTTCTTCTTCAAGCGTTTGTGTTGCAGTGTAGTAACTAAAGCACCATGGAAGCCGACTAACTCGTCTGTGTAAATAAATGAATTAAAGATAACTTTAGACAAGTAAGCAAAGTGACACACGTAGACTAGTTAACTTGTGGTATGTGTTGCGCATATTTTTGTGTTTATTTTCTCTTTTATCTATCTTTTATCATATTGTAAAGAAATAAGACAAAAAAAATTATGGAAATGTTTCTATCCTTCTGTAACCTCAATGTTATTTTGCGGTGATTTTTTTTTCTCTTGTGCATTTGTGAAATAATGCCTCTCATTCTCTTTCTGTCCATATGAACAAATGATTATAAATATTATATATGTGTAAGTCCGTCCGCTGCTGAATTAATACTATTCTATCCTGCTGTATTATCTTTCTTATCAAACGCTTAGTCCTCCTCTTCCACGCTTCACTCCCGTGTTACTCTCTTATTTTTATGCTAATATTTATATTTGTTTTATTTTCTCTTGAACACTGACATTTCAAATAAAATAAATCATTTTAAAAACTTTAAATGCATTGTTTGTTGTCATTTTTACATGTTAATGAGTTTGCTGAACAGTAAGGATTTATCTGTCCCAGTGTGCCGTTTGCTTTTTTTTAACTTCAGCTTTTTAATTTATCAAGAAATGTGTTCAGTGGCGTGTCTGGCTCATCTGGTTCTTTTTAAGTCTTTAAGAAGGATGAGCAAAACAAGAAGAGTTTGAACAATCAAGACGTTTGAGTCAAAATTCTTCAATAGTTTCCATTCTTTTGAAGTGAGGTTTTGAGAGAGTAAACAATATCATACCTGCTGCAGATAGCTCTATGAACAACCCCAGTTTGGAGAAATTTAGTTACTTCTGATCAGATTAACAGCTAATTCAAGTGTAACCTATTCCAGATTGGATTGTCGATGTCTTAAAACAAGTCAAATTTGAAATAAATAAATAAATAAATCACAGTTGCTCCTGAAAACATTTTTTTCTAAACCTTTACATCACCATCAATTCCACAATACACGTGTATTTACATCAGGTTCCTGATTTTAGTTTTGTCATTTTGTTTGCTATTTAGTTTTGATTGTTTTGATTTGTTAAAAAAAGAGAAAGTATGCCTAAGCCTATTTTATGACTGCCTATTGTTGTCATTGTTATTCATTTTTGTCATCACTCTTTGTTAAGAAATCAAGTCTCTCTTGTAAATGAGTTCTCGAGGCTCAATGGGATTAACCTGTTTAAATAAAGAATGAATGAAAGGTTCTGTTGAAATTCCCAAACAAATAATGGCAGCAGAAAATGGCCGTAGCACTTCTGGTTCTGCATTGGGGCACTTCCTACAAAATATAATAATTCTGCTGCAAAACTGACAAAGATATAAAGACATAAAATAACACTGACATGAATTACAGACTTTTTTATTAAAAACTGGAGCGGTTTCAAGTTTTCAGCATTCCACGCTGGTTTGGACCTGGCTCTGACAGGCTGTATGTTCATCAGGTCAGACTTAAACCTCGTTTCTTTCAACTGAAGTCATTCACAAAATTTTCTATAACGTATTCATTGTTGCTAACATTTCTACAAGAACATCTGGACTTTTGATTTTAACACAGACAATACTACAGCAGATCCCTGATTACTCATAATATTTTGGAGCATCTGTTTGAGGCTGATAAGAGAACGTCTGTCTGAAAAGTTGTATATTAATGTGCAGATTATTATCACTGGCAGTAAAGGAAAAAAAATCACATATTCAAACTTCATATTTCTCTTTCTTGCCCATCAGAGATGCCAGCTCTTTGTTTTGATCTTGCAGGACCTGGGGCTCGCATGGGGAACGATCATGGTCTGCTAAAGCTTTTATGCCTTTCAGATGGTCTTACACAATCACACACGTCTATAAATAGCCCATGGGATGTCACAGAACAGAACCCAGCAAAGGATGCTGCAGATGTTGGGGGATGGAAGGAGAAAAGACAGAGAAGAAGGAGAAATTATATGAGCAAAGCTCTGAATCAAGCGTTATACCCATTTTCTTTAATGAGGGTAAATGCAGATTCTCAAAGTTGAGGTTCTTATGCGAGAGTCACAAAAGAAAGGAATTTACGAGAAGCAAAACAATTAGTAGTTTACAATCAGTCACGGCAGACTCACAAACTCAAAATGGCTGACTCCTTTCAACCTCCTCTAGATGTGTTACGCGGTTGCCACGGCAACTGTCAGCCCCAGCTCAATGCCTTTCCTCTTCTCTACACATCCTCACTACAGATCTATGAAGTGGCCATTACTGGCTGCTGCTGTGGCCTGGCAAAACAGATCGAGCCTCAAGAAGGCAAACACATTCAGCCATTAGTCAAACCTGGCAACACAGACAGACATATGCTGGAAACATGGCCACACTGGGCAGGGAATTTCCCACACGGAGACGCAAACAGATGATTCGGAAGCAATAAAGCCACTGTGGGTTCGTCACAGCTTGATTCACGGGAGATTTATCTGAGGGGTGATCTAATTCTGGTGAACAATCGAGGGAAACTAAGGAAATATTCATATGATCACACTGACTATAGCATAAAAACAGCTTTAGAGTCCCTTTGTCAGCTGATATGTGTTGTCCTGTGACTCACAGAGTCCTGCTGTCCCCATGTGTCACCCATTTCCCCCAAGAGGAGACCCAGCAGAAAGGGCAGATTGTTCTGGTGTTGCCCTCTCTCGTCCTGCCTCCCTAACTCATTTAATGAAGCACATTCTTGCCGATTAAACACACACAAATATACAGTACACAATGAGGGAAACAGTAAAAAGAAGGTTGTAACTAGTGATGTAGAGCAGGGTTGACCAAGGAGAAGACATCACAGCAGACTGGAAGCCGACAATGGACTTTCTGTGTGGGAACACAACATTAGTCAGACGGGCTGGACAGCACAGACTCCATCGTCTCTTCCTTCATGAGTAAATCTGAACAGGCCTGGGGTTGTCCACAGAGACACCCTCTGCACTTGAAAGAAGTCGGACACAACCAGAACGATGCCCTGAAGACATTTCAATCACATTTTCTTCTATTCTGTCGTCATTTTCAGCACAAAAGAGCAACAAGATTAGCGTCCTTCTCAAAAAGTGACTCACAAGAAGAGCCGGTTTCTGATTCCAGGCCCTGAATGTTCTGATTAGTCAGAGTAAACAGGAGGATGTGACGGCATACAGCGCCGTGGCGGGACAGGAACTGAGTTTCCCGCCAGTTTTTACTCTTCAGAGGTGAAGTAAAAGGAAGGAAAGCTCTCCCCACACCTCCCCTCCTCCTCCACGTGCTTCCTCCCTCTACTTCCTTCCCTGCTCCCCTCCTTCCTCCCATCCTGCAGCTGTCTCTGGGTCACCACATGTTGGAGGACAGAGACCCACTTTGTGGACACTGGATGCACAAAGACCAACTTAATCTGGACTTTAAGGGGAGGGGAAAAAATCACTTTGAGATGAACAATAATCCAAATTAAGGGAGAACTTAATAAACAGCAGCAGGTTAAAGTCAGCCTAAAAAGACGCAGCTGTTCTTTGATGGATCTCTCGTTAAAAACAATAAAACTGGGACAGAGAGGAATAAAAGCCTGTTATTTTGGCTCACTCAGCCAGCTCTAAAAATACTGCCCAACAAGTTCTGCACGCTATCAAACATTAAATAACATCCACTGAGCACCTAATCCATGCACTCTCTCCAATCATCTTCACTTTCTTCCCCTGAACACACAAACATTTCTCCACAAAAAGTCTGCTTTCATTTAGTATTTCAGCTGAGAGGAATGTGCCTATCAGCTCACTCAGTAACGAGCAAGCCCAGTTGGTGTTTGGCTGAAAGAAAGAGCGCTGGAGAGCTGGAGCTCCTGAGCGCTGCTCCAACACTCCCCTGATTTAAAGAAACGCAGTTAATGTGCTGGCTGCTGGCTTGGCTACATCACAGAGATGGAGCTGTAGCAACGTGGAAGAGGAGCACAATGCGCCCTTTCAAAGCTGCAAACACTTTTGTCTCTCTCTTCATCTGAAAAGCCCCCCCTTCTCTCCCTCTTTCTTTCTCTTGCCTCATCTACTTTGCCAAGAGCTCTTTGCAACTGTTTTCTCAGCTGGGAGGATGGGAGTCAGACAGGGGGTGGAGGGGGGTGGGAGACAGGAATGAAGTTGGGAATGACAATCTCAGGGAGAACGATGGGTGAACATGGACTAACGGAGGTACGGGGCTGGTTACTTTGTGGATTTGCTTTGAAATTGTCAGCAAAAAAAATTTCGTATCGCCCAAACGATTGAACAATATTTGTGTTTACAGGAGATTAAAAGCCTCCATCTGGGGCAGAGTGGTCCCCCCCCCCCCCCCCCCTTACCCCCATCATGTCTCTTTAACATGCACAGAAAAACAACATTCAAGCAACATCCCAATCCTGCTTTACAGGCAGCCCCCAGCACTCAAACACACACATGCAGCAACCACACCCCCCTCAGCACAGTGCGGATCATCTAATCCGCTCCCTCCACCGCTGCCGTTGTCATGGTTACAGAAATTTCCAGAATCCAGTGATGAGAGAACGGACAGGAATCAGAAGATTTAGTAAACATTAAACGAGTCAGTTCTGCTTCGTGTGTTGGATTTGTGTCCATGTGTGTCCATGTGGGGGGGGGTCAGCTGAGGACCTAAGTGTGTGTTTGTGTTTCCAAATGTTGGACACGCCGTAAATGTGCAGACCCTGACGGAGAGACATGTCGACAGCTCAGCGCCACGAGACAGGTGCTGCTGCGGAAACGCTGCAGCTGTTGTGTGGATATCTCAGGCTAATAAAGCGTGCTCCATCAAGCACGCAGGCAGGAGTAGAACCAGAGACTCTGGGCTCCAGTCTTCATAGCTAGGACAACTTCCTTCCAGCTCCTCAGCTGTGGTGCAGATATTAAAGATCAAAACGCCAAAGTCAGAA